AGTGATAAAATGTGTCAACAGTAAAATATATCTTCTTACTATTTGTTTTATTGTGACCTATTTCTGTACCCATCCTGTGGTTTTAAATGAATATAAATTTCGATGATTTACCACGAAAGAAAATATTCATTCACAAGATTATAGTATCAAAATTTAAAATGTAGGGGGGAGGCATTTGGATAAGAGGACAGCTCAAGAATTTAAAAATAACCAAGAAATGTATCACACATACAAAATGTTTATTTACTCAAGAAGTTCGTGTAACAACAAATATTAACCTTGTTCTTTTTGACCTTATCTTTAAAATATAACTATTTACAGTTCCCAGTCTGCATTTGTCAACACAAACTCATGATATAAAATGCAAGGGTTATTTCTTCACAAAATACTATACTAACTTGTGACGGAGTAGATTCAAACTCATCCATAGCTTGTCGTCAGTCTGAAGGTTGAAATCTTATTATTACCGATTACTCAACCAGTAAAATGAAAAGCTGGTGTGATTACAATATAATAAAAGCTATTGTTATAAATCCACAATAATAAGTATGTAGCAGTAGTATGTGTATCAAAAAATAAAACTTAAACAAGACGAATCCTCCCCCTTTACTCCTTTCCACAGAAACATGTCAATCCCCAGGCAGCGTTGCAAGTTATAATCAACTCACAAAATTNACCGATTACTCAACCAGTAAAATGAAAAGCTGGTGTGATTACAATATAATAAAAGCTATTGTTATAAATCCACAATAATAAGTATGTAGCAGTAGTATGTGTATCAAAAAATAAAACTTAAACAAGACGAATCCTCCCCCTTTACTCCTTTCCACAGAAACATGTCAATCCCCAGGCAGCGTTGCAAGTTATAATCAACTCACAAAATTTAGAGCCAATACCTACGTAGACTGATTTCAATGTAATACAATACACACTCTTGTAAATATATTGTATATTTACTTCAAAAATAACAGTACATACATTATAATTTGTAACTCTAGCTTCGAAAGGGAGAAGAATCTAGACTCACTGCGAGTCTAGCTGAGAGAGGGGAAATCCTTGCTGTCGTCGACCTTCGGCGGCGTCACGTGGTGACGCTGTACCGGGCGCTCCTCCACGACCGGCGGCTCCTCGCGCGGCACTCCTCGTCCGCGACCCCGGCCCCGTCCGCGGCCTCGCCCGCCCACACCGCCGCGCCTCGCACCGTCACTAAATGTGAACTCAATGCCCAACAAACGCTTCTGGCGACCCACGCGCTGTGGATAGTCGGCCAGATCGTATTCCTCGTCAGTTTCCTCATCATCACCACGGTCACCTTCCTTCTTGCGTTCCAACAGAACCAGGTTTTTCCACTGGCTCAAGTCTTCACCCTCACCTGCCTTCCTCAAATTGTACTGCGGAGCGGTGCGTTGCGCGTTGCGTAAAGCCTTGTATTCATCGAGTGTCAACTCACGCGGTTCTTCCTCAGCGGGCACTGCACGTTCAGTTTCAGGCACTTGTCCATCGCCAGCGCCGGCTTCAGGAGCCTTCTCTTCAGTAGTTTCACCCTCAGAACCGGTTTTGTTCAACTCGTCGAGATCGTCCTTGATCGTGCCCCAGTTGTGGGGACCTGCGCCCTCCCTCTTGTCGACTGATTTCACACCGGTTTTGTCAGAGCCGGATCTTCGGTCGAACTCACGTTTGCCTCTATTGTCAAAAGAACGCGGCCCGCGCGGTCCCTCACGAGGCTCACGCGGTGGTCTTGGTGGACCGCGACGCTCTGCACCGTCCTGGTTGTTGTCGTTGAAATTGCGGCGCTCGTTGAAGTTAGGCCGACGATCGCCGAACTCGCGTCTCGGTGGCCGCGGAGCTCCTTCCTTGTTTTCTGCGGTACCGTTCTGCGGCCGATCTTCACGACGACGCGGAGGCGGACGCTCAACATTACGATCGACCGGGCGTGCAGGTCCCTTACCCTTCTGTTGTTCTCCACTTTTGATGTCTTGAGACTTCACATTTTGGGTTTCCTTAATGCCCTTCCGGGTGGGAACGGTTACGCCTTTAGCGGGCTTGGGTTCAGGCTTGCCTTTGTTCTCTTTTTCGGCTTCTTTGGTCTTCTTTTTGAGCTCCTTCGCCTGCTCTCGCGCTTTTAACGCATCAAGAGGATCGGTCTCATCGTCCAAGAAAAGAGCGTATCTGTTCACTACTCCCACACCGTAGGAATTCTCCATTGTGATCCTCTTGATGATTTAATCACACAATATTTAGATGTTATTGGATTACTTTCCGCGCACTAGTAAGGCGACATTTTGTCTTATTTTATTGATTTCATTTAATATGGCGGACCGATTCGAACAACTACTACGCCATATGACGAAAAGGAATAGAGTAAAGAAACAAAATGGTGGAAAAACTTTTTAATTGTCTATGGTCTACACTGGCACAAATGACATTCTACTATAGTCGAACGATCAAGGATTTGTTTCAAATAATATACCTATTTTTCATTTCTATTTTATACTACCTAATAATCATTGTTCCAGTTTAAACTGTTATTAATTGATACCCATGCAGCCATGCACGTTCTGAATTAAAGATTCAGATTCTCGGCTTGTTCCTCGATTAGTTTTTGTGAGAACAAAAAATTTAAAAATAAATAATGGGCAAAAACTTTTCAATACACCTTTGTTTGTATGTCTCATTTATACAATTGTCTCATCCATATTAACAAGATAACTGGAGGCACAATCAATCTAATAGGCGTATGGGAATCCATATAGAGTCCCTTCTTTATTTCGCCGTAAAGTCGTGTTTTATGTAATTAACACCACAGTTGAAACAATAGAAATTTTATTGTTGTAGCGGCATAAACAATTCTAAGTAATTATATTACATTAGTTATTAAACACATTATAAATTATATTTTCGTTTTAAATTGGTGGTAAAAAAGGTCCCGTCTCACAGACTATATTCTTTTTCCCATCTCTCGTGCGTTCCGGCTTACGCATCATAAAAATGTACGTTCTTAAACGCCACAGGCATTTGCAAACAATGTATAAATCATCACAAATTGTTTTCCCGATAAATTGATAATGTTTGAAGCTATTATTAATAATCATGTACTTGCCTTGGTAGCCTTGAAAGCGTAACTTTGCTAATTTCATTTATAGGTAGATATAAATAACTACAGTATATCTGAATCAGAAGAAAATTATTGAAGCAGAAACTGCTGAAGTTTTAGAAATAGTCCACATTTACTAATATTAACTGAACACGAAATCGTTATTACAGGGATAAGCAAAGAATAGGCAAAGAGCAGAGATTTGGTTTTAATGACGCTTCTTTGAAATCCCTTAGTGTGTAAAATAAAACGGCAAACGTTAACTGTACACCTGCGGTTACTCTAGGTTTTCCTGCGCTCGGGAGTGGGAGAGCTCTTCTAACCTCTCGGCACCGTGCCGCTGCCGCTGAACCAGGGGTCGGAGGAGGGCGTTTGTCCAGCTCTGGCCCCTGTGAGGAGGCAGTCTCCTCCCGGTAATGGTCACAGGGCGACCTAAGGGGGCTGAGGCTGCGCCGCACGCTACCGTCACTCTAGCGCGCTGGCACCAGGAGGACGGGAAGACGCGTCGACGGCTGCGGACTGCGATGCGGTCCGCATTTTCGTCGTCGCTGTCGTCATATATGAACATACTGTGGAAGAGCAACCCGGTCAGCGGTGTATCGCGTTCCGACTTGGCAGGCTGGTTCTGGCCCAGCGGGGTATCTCGGAACACCATCGGCATCGCCCGGGCAGCCCGGTAGGGCCGCCGTACCTCGGAGACCGACGTCGTTGGTCGTCGATTATCGCCTCAACGACCCGTCGGTCGGGCGTCCTCGGGGTGGCACCGCGTTTCTGGTTGTAGTGCATTCCCGATCCTGCGGACAGAATGGAAACCAGTCGACGTCGCCCAAAACACGTCATCTCGGATCCTCCCGATCCACTAACGGTGCTTCTAGGTACTTCAAGCACCGGTCACCGTTCCCGTCGAACCCGTCGCTTACGACGAAGGGCTCGACGAGTAAATTAACTCTCAGACACAGCCCACTGAGTTTCTCGCCGGATCTTCTCAGTGGGTCGCGATTCCGATCCGGCAGTAGATTCTGCGAAGCACGACTCTTGCTAGGGTTCGTGTTAGCATCGTCGTCAGGTTTGAGCCCCGTGAGCTCACCTACTAGTTACGGTTACGCTGGAATAGCCGCTCCAGGCTACCAGCTTAGGTAGGAAAAAAAAAAAGGTTGTAGTGTTGACCGCGGGAACCCCCCTACTCTGACCGGGCTTTGACCCCGGACGGAGATCGGACGTCGGGTGTAAGAGTGCAGGGGAGCCGTTTAGTGGGTGGGCCCTAAAATTCCTTGGGCCCGCGGTCTGCTCCCAACATCTTGCAGATCGTCAAGTCCCACATAGATCGCGCGCGCCCTAGGCGCGGGGTCCTCGTAGGAGGTTCGGCAATCGGGCCGAAAAAAAATATGTTTTTGCTGCGTTACATTTTTTTTTTATTCAGGGGTTACTGGTGGCCCGGAGGTTTTTCCAGTTTCACCAAGACGGGCCTGCGTCAAATACCCCGCAGGAAAAAAAAGATAGTTTACAACCGTCGCGTACGTCATCAAAGCAACGATGATCACCTTAATGACAAATATTTGACTTACAAATATATAATAAAACCAAAGTAATGCTAAATTTGGTGCAATTTTAATGATAACGACATAGACAAAACATCCAATTTATGTAACTATTAATATTAGAACTGTGTGTGTTTTTGTAAATACGTAGTTTTTTCGAAGAAACTTGTTTTATTTATAAAATTAAACAATATAAATGTTAACAATTTTTTTATAAAAGGCTGAACTATTAACTTTTATGTTAACATTATTATTATTATTATTATTGTAATTAACAAATTTGACGTTAAGTCGTGATAAAGTTAATGAGAATTTACTTTAAATTTCTGAATTGTGTGCTTATTCATCTCAGATGTTAAAAGAGTAATTTATTTAGTTGGTGGGCATACAGGTTTTCCAGCCTTTTTCGTTCCAGCTGGGCCTAAGCACGTCTCCAGGAGTAGCCCACAAACCAAATACGGATCACAATCACCAGCAGGCCTTCTATCCTCTATAAAACCTTTCCCCTTTTCTTTTGTATTTCTTTGCAACCGAATTGATGCTTTTCTGTCAGCAAATCCCCACGAGAACTTATCGAACGATGCCGTTTCAAATTTACCTGTTAAACGTTGTCTGTTGGTAGCTTCATCGTTACCATACTGTTTGATGTGTTTCATATGGTTAGTCTCCAATTTCTTTAAAGATTCTTCAATAATCTTGAATCCACCATCCGAACGCATACCTTTAGTGCTCATATTGTGGTGCAAACCAACGCCAGGATGTAACTGCCCCATAGGCTTAGGATGATATGTTATGTCAACACCGTGATCTTCCGCAACTCTGGCCATGATATAGCGCGACATCCACAAATCATCGGGAGCTTTTATACCTACTGAAGTACCAATTTGCCACTCCCAGCAACCGAACATGACTTCTGCATTGGTTCCTTCAAAATCTAGTCCAGCATACAAACAGGCTTTCGTGTGAGCTTCAACTATGTCTCTTCCCGCAACGTACTTTGCTCCTACGCCACAATATGAATACTGATATTTTACAGCAGGGAAACCGCCCCCCTTGGGCCAACCCAGACCCCACCCGTCTACGTCAAGCATAGTATACTCTTGTTCTAAGCCGAACCATGGTTCGTGTGCTGCATGATAAACACACAAGTCATTACAAAATTTTCTATGATTTGTCGCAGCTGGTGTTCCATCGCCATAGTACACATCACATAAAACCAATACGTGAGGGTCGCATCGAAATGGATCTCTGTAAACTGCCACAGGCTTTAAGGTCGTGTCTGAATTATTCGCCTTAGCTTGTCCGGTTGAACTGCCATCAAATGTCCATAAGGGAGCCTGTTCTGGGGAATAAGGAGCACAGTTCATAACTCTGTCTTTCGAACGCATGTTGATTCCAGAGCCATCAATCCAAACGTATGTGGCCAAAACCTTATTACAGGGTAAAGGTAACCGCATGTATCGGTCTAATACCTTTTTTCCTAAAACATGATTTATAGAATGTTTAAGTAAATTTCTACGGCATATTTTTACTGTTGTTATTATTTTCCGACTCAGCAACACATTTCTTAATAAATTTTCCATTGAAACATACAAAATGAGTTTTTTTAAAATAAACAAATGCTTTATCTAAAGATACACTGACATATCGGGAAAGACGTTTTCTTTGTCAATTCTTTTAAATAGATATTCTTTTAAATTATCAAGAATAATATATCATAGAAATAGAACCTTATATTAATTACTCTTTTTGCGGCGTTTAAATGTTGCTTGCATTTATTTAAATGTCGCTTGCATTTGGCAAATAAACCTAGGTCATAGGTCTCTAGACTAACATAAATTTTCCATGTTCATAGATTTTTTAATATCAATATCCACAGAATTCTGCTTATTCTAAGTACCTACTCATAAGTAGCTACTGCTAGTATATTTTGATGTTTGTGTCGAGTTGCATTTTAGGTACCTACCGACATCGCAGCTGGCAGCGTTTGTTACCACGGTTTTTTTTTTGTCCTACCTATGCTGATAGCCTTGAGAGGCTATTGCAGCTTCACCCTAACGTTTGTAGGTGAGCTCACGGGGCTCAAACCGGAGAGTTGCTAACATTGACCCTAGCAAGAGCAGTGCTTCGCAGAATCTACCACCGGATCGGAAACGCGACCCACTGAGAAGATCCGGCGAGAAACTCAGTGGGCTACGTCTATGGTTTAATTCGCTCGACGGACTCGACGAGGACGGTGACCGGTGCTTGTGGTGCCTAAAAGCACCGTTAATGGATCAGGAGGATCCGTAATGACGTGCTTTGGGCGACGTCGTCGGTTTACCATTCGGTCTACAGGGTCAGGTATGTAGTTTCCAGCGGCCACGACAAGAGGGTTCTCATGTCGTGCCGCCTTCTCAAAGTGGCGCAGCGATGCCGACTGTAGATTTACCACGGTAAGGCCACATAATATGTGGTAATTTGGTAAACTGTAAAAGCTGGTTAAAAATGAAAACATCTAAGAATTCACTCCAAATCTTTTATTATAACAGCTGTAAATACCACAGTTTATACACATTGTACTGCAACTCCATAATTTTTGCCTTTACATATACATCAATATGTAAGCCAATATTTCAACAAAATTTTGATAATATTTCAAGGTTGAAAGTTGAAATATCAAAAATCTCATTGGATTTATTTTCCTTTTAGTGTATGACGTTATGCGTAAACGAATTCAGCACAGAATTCCGCTAATTCCAGTTAATGAGCTTGTCCGAAATAGGTATGAAGTCTATTCAGTGACAATTTACTGGTACCACCACCCCGCCTATTTCTGCCGTGAAGCAGTAATGCGTTTCGGTTTGAAGGGTGGGGCAGCCGTTGCCTGCCCCACCCTTCTGTATACTGGGTCTATACTGAGACCTTAGAACGGATATTTCAAGGAGGGTGGCGCATTTACCTTGTAGATGTTTATGGGCTCCAGTAACCACTTAACACCAGATAGGCTATGAGCTCGTCCATCCAACTAAGCAATAAAAAAAAACATGAGAGTTGGCTGAGTAATATACTGTATATTTTGTTGTGGCAAACAAAACAAAAATAGTGTGTCGTTTAATTCCTACGACAGATTTTCACGTAGATATGACCAATAAATCTAAATTTAGTAGTTCACAGTAAATCGTAAATCATTAGACTTAGATTTTCTTAGTACATATCTAATGTAACTAAAATAACTCTCATTTTTATTAGGTTTCATTTTATATGTATATATTTTAAATTTTTACATTTTTTCTAAAAATATTTTTTTTATTAATCAAATTATATCTAATAGACAATCAAACACGAAATATTCAGTGCTCTTTTTAGTTGTTTCTTCCAATAAATTAAGTTCAAATACATGTTTTAGCAATTAAGCCACAAACCATGTACGGATCACAGTTGCCTGCAGGTCTTCGATCTTCAAAGTATCCTTTGCCTTCTGATATAACTTTTTTCTGAATTCGTATCGACGCACTTCTATCAGAAATGCCTACACGACACGAATCATATGATGATGTTTCAAATTTTCCTACCAACCTCTTCTTGTTATCTTCGCCATCTTTTAAATCATAGCTTTTAATGATATTTTCATGTTGATCGCATAAAATTTTGCAAATCCTTTTTATTTCTGTGACACCTTGATCGGCACGCATTTTCTTTGTACTAAAATTATGATGACATCCTATGCCAGCATGTCCATCTCCCATTGGCTTAGGATGAAAGCTAATTATAACGTCGAAATGCTCTGCTATTCGATTTAGAAGATACCGACCTATCCAAATATCGTCAGCTGCCTTTATTCCTAATGTAGGTCCTACTTGAAATTCCCACGATCCATTCATTACTTCTGCATTGGATCCGTCGTAATCCATGCCAGAATAGATACAAGCTCTGGCATGACACTCAGCAATTTCTCTCCCGGCTACATGTTCACCTACACCACAGTAAGAATTCTTAGAATCTTGGTCTGGATACCCTCGTGGCTTGGGCCATCCCAAAGGCCAATGATCACGATCGAACATTGTGTATTCTTGTTCTATACCAAACCATGGTTCTTGGTCACAAATTTTACTCAAGGTTATAGCTGATGATACTCTGTGGTTTGTGGGGGTCGGTAAACCTTCACTAGAATATGTTTCACACAAAACGATTATATGCGGACTCTTACGAAAAGGATCTCTGTACACTGCAACGGGAAGTAGTGTAATATCTGAATCCTTCAGATCTGACTGTCCAGTTGAACTCCCGTCATACGACCATTTCGGCACCATTTCTAAATCACAAGGCTCCTTATCCAATATTCGGTCTTTAGACCGTAAATTTATCCCACTAGCATCAATCCATACATAGGTGGCAAAAATTTTATTTTTCGGAAACGGTAAATTTAAAAAGTAATTGTAGTACGCATCATGCGGTNTATCTGAATCCTTCAGATCTGACTGTCCAGTTGAACTCCCGTCATACGACCATTTCGGCACCATTTCTAAATCACAAGGCTCCTTATCCAATATTCGGTCTTTAGACCGTAAATTTATCCCACTAGCATCAATCCATACATAGGTGGCAAAAATTTTATTTTTCGGAAACGGTAAATTTAAAAAGTAATTGTAGTACGCATCATGCGGTCCTGGATGCCCAAAGACACTGCTAGTAGTTAAATAATAAACATGTTTCATATTTTTATGCACTAAATTCTTTGATAGGAAAATACTTCTAAAAACTTTACCACATGTTTTAAAGCAGTACATTGTTTAAAAAATTTTAATTAAGTTTTAACTAAAAACGGTTTTTAAATTACTTTCTAGATTTAAAAACTCGATGGACGCGGAAGTCTTTTAAAATTATTTATATATCTGTAAGAACCTATTTTCAAACGATTTCTCTGGCTGGATTTGTCTCTGTAGGCTGGTACTGGTAATATCCGAATGCGTACCGTATTTTCCAGCTTATCTATAACTGGCGGTGTCTTTGACGCTCTTAGCATTTTGTAAGCCCGTTGATCGTTATCAAATCGAGCTGGCGCTTAGAGGCTTCGTCGTCGTGACGGTGACGACCGTTGGATTGTCATCCTATTTGCTAACGTGATAAATAGAAAACTATTCAACTCTAAGAGTTTCTTCCGCGCCTGCCTTGATAAATTTCTGTCACATTCGAGTCTAGAACTCGGTTTGTTGAACGACAGGTTGTTTTAGTCGGTTCGGCTCTAAGGTGTATATTGCGCCCAAGACGTAGGTTAAAGTCCGATAATTTTCTCCAAAAAGACTCCTTAACCTAACCCTAGCTGACACTACATTATAATTCCGCTTCAGAAGCAGTTTCGCGTCAAGAACAAGGTTTTGGCCTAAATTTACAAAAGCTTAAGCGATATGGGCTGAGGTCTCTTTGTCTAGTTGTTTAAACTAGGTATTGGGATACTTGGGGCCGATATTTCGAACGATGTCCATTTTTGGAGTCATTTCGGAAAGCCAAGTTGGCGTCAAAAATGCTGGGAGTCTCAACAGAGCGAAGCGGTACTTCACACCTGAACAAATACTTTTTTATACAAGCACAGGTACTGCGTCGACTACTGCTCCCACCTCTGCGTCGGGGCTCCCAAATACCAGCTACTTCCATTTTACTCCCTATAGAAGAGAGCCGTTCGGATTGTCGATGATCTCATTCTTACGGATCGTTTGGAACCTCTGGGTCTGCGGAGGGACTTCGGTTACCTCTGTATTCTGTACCGTATGTTCCATCGGGAGTGCTCCGAAGAAATATTCGAGATGATAAGATCATCTCGTTTTTACCATCGCACCGCCCGCCACCGTAGTAGAGTTCATCCATACTACCTGTGCGTTTCCAGAGGTCTTTTTTGCCACGTATTTCCCGACCGCTATGAAATGTCCTTCTTCAAACCAGCCCTGTGAAGAGTATTAAGCGTTAGGCAACGGCTTGGCTCTGCCCCTGGCATTGCTGAAGTCCATGGGCGTCAGTAATCACTCACCATCAGGTGGGCCGTATGCTCGTCTCCCTACAAGGGCAAAAAAAAAAAAGTATGTTTGACATAATGTCTACGGCTTAATGCTAACTGTCAAAAACATGTGTGGAGTTCATTTGTAAGTGTATTGTTATAGATTGAAGAGTTTATTTATACTGAATTTGAAAAAACCCTAAGTTCTAACAACAATGGCTCAAAAATACTATTTTTATGCAGTACAGTAATAATTAATAATATAATAACATATTATTAAAATCGAAGGCGTAAGACTTAAATAAGCAATATAAACAATATCTAAAAAGTACAAATCTAACCATAGAAAACAAGTATAAAGTAAAGTTAAATGTGGAATATTTTCTATATTAGGGCCTTCGTGGATATATTTCAAAAACAAGCCAAAAGCCAGTGATACATTAGAGAAGTCAAACACCAAGTGATATGTGTTGAATTTGAACATGGAAACGTAAGACTTTTTTAGATACTTTTTTCTTTAGTAAAACTTTAAAGTTTGGTATTTTGTTTAGCAGATTTTTTTAAATTCTTATAATCTCAGACACAAGAATACCATGTTTTGTTTTATATGGTTATTTAACACTGAATAAAATAGCTAAAATAGAAGTGGAAACTTCTTTCTTCATAATCTGATCAGTATTTGCTCTCACTGAAACTGATTTAATTAAGCATTATATAAAACGAGACAATATTGCTTAGATTTTCATTTAAGACTCAAGTGGCTTATAGAACTAAGAATACCATGTGGATTACTAGCTGCCATATTTTGAAATAGACATTTTGTACAAGTCTCGGGTCTTCGGGTGGGTACCACCACCCTGCCTATTTCTACCGTGAAGCAGTAATGCGTTTCGGTTTGAAGGGTGGGGCAGCCGTTGTAACTATACTTGAGACCTTAGAACTTATATCTCAAGGTGGGTGGCGCATTTACGTTGTGGATGTCTATGGTCTCCAGTAAACACTCAACACCAGGTGGTGGGCTGTGAGCTCGTCCACCCATCTAAGCAATAAAAAAAAAGTCTCGAACTTTTTAATAGTATGTTATTAACATACTTCATGTTACGTTACAGTATAAAAGCCAATTCTGCATTTCTGTGTAATTATGAAGTTATGCAAATTCTCCAAAAATTAAAAGATAACACACATAAAAAGCATAAGAGAGAAGCTTCACTTGCCACTGTTACATATGAGGTGAGGTTATCCAATAATTATTATATTCTTGCTTATATAACAAGCTAATTCAATGTAAAAAACCGTGGGCAGCGGCTTGGCTCTGCCCCTGGCATTGCTGAAGTCCATGGGCGATGGTAACCACTCACCATCAGGTGGGCCGTATGCTCGTCTGCCTGCAAGGGCAATAAAAAAACAATAAAAAAAATTGACATTCTGGCCTAAAGGATATAGTGCCCCTGATGTACTATTATTAAAATTTAACGATGCAACTATGCAAATCAAACCCCATGGGCAAGTTGCAATTTATCTAAAGAAATTCATACTCAAGTCACTTTCACATTCGTAAATTCCAGGATGAAGGAATAGCATTGTGTAATAAAAATCATACCTAAAAATAAAATGATATAATTTGTATTTACATTAAGTAAATTGTACTTTTTTTTTAACCCATAGACAAGTAAATTGTACTTACAATATGTTTGTACTTACATTGGATTGATTTCTTTAGATATATCATGAGAGAGCTTTAAAGATTCCCTGTATTTTGCATTGGTCAAGTGGTAATAAACGTTAAATTTTATTCGCAGTCTAAAACCATGATGTTGCATGCTGTGTGCTCTACAATCATACAATGGAATATTAATTGCACATTTACAATCATATTCGTCAAACATTTTGATATTTTTTTCTTTCTTTTTCCAGACTGTACATTACTTACAAGACACAGAATGCAAAAATCAGAGTGCCCAAAAAATTCAGAAGTTCCTAGAAGCTATGAAGAAATACAAGCTCACTAAAGTTGAAAAATTAATGATGGTAAACACTCCGCCCAGGACTGAATTGGAAATACAATTGGTATGTACATTGTTTGTTTTCTTCTTCTGTCTACATTTTTAAAGACATTACTGTTTCACAGACAACATGGAACTTTGGGAACTTCTAATGATGAACATACTTCTAAAAGTTTTTTTTTTAATTCTTCTATTAATAATGTGAAAAATCAGGGACAGGCTCACAATTCACTTGTTGTTAAAGAGTTACTTGAGCACGGAAACTTATAATAAAGTGAATATAGTGCTACTAAGAGTGCTGAAAGGAATTAGGATGAATTTGTGGGTGCTATTACTATGGGGCATCACATACTTTGTGAGTGTCCCCTATCTTTAAATTATATAGCAGGAATAATGTGAACAGTGTTTGGATGAGGAGTACAGGACCAGAGAATGACATAAAATATTCCAATGGTTGAAACGCCATTGCAATTCATTCCCATGCCCTTAATTGAAGATAAAATAAGATCTACTATTGATAGTAGAATTGTGAAGTAGTAATAATATGAGAAAACTGCACATTACAGATTGTATGATACTAAATGTCCTCAAACTGATAGATGGTTTCTACTACAGTGCAAATTGTCATTGCTCGATATTGCCACAATTTGACAATAGATCACTCTTTCAGCAACAACCTAGTTTTCAGTACAGTAGCAACTTTATCAGTAACTCCTGTAGGACACAACAAACAACTTTACTTTACAATGAGTGAGAACATTTTAAGTGCTGTGCATGCGCTTATTTGTTTCATGACCAAAGACTTCCATAAAATTCCACATTGGAATCCTCAAGTGTTCCGAGACTGTCTCCCTTTAATTTCATGTGAGGACTTTAAATCGATTTGTACTACCCATTAGATCACATTGCAGAATGCTTCGCACAAACGCTACAATGGTAGTAGTCACCTGTGGACATCAAATGCAACCGTCTATCTTGTTAAATGCTGTTATCACACATTAAGAGTAACTGAAGATGCTGAAATAGCAAACGAACCTCAAAAATTACATGAATAAAATATGAGGACTGAATTAAACTAATAAAATTATTCCAAATTTAATGATATTTGAACAGTGGAATGCTACTGGTATTTGTCTTGAAGGGTGGGGCAGCCGTTGTAACTGTTACGCGCTGGAGTTCGAGATAAATAAAATTCCAGCAAAGTACAACTTAAAACTGTATTCAACACTTAAAACACTCAACAAACACTTTAAAACTCTCAATTCGCTTCTTCCGCTTCGCTTCAGGTGATCCGTTCGCTGTTTCGCTTCGAGTAGTTCCTACAACGCTTTTATAGCCGATACCACATCTCTAGAATTATCGAGAATATTCCACACATCTCTAGTATTGTGCTTCCGGTATCTGACAATAGATGGCGTTGTATTTCTCGAGCGTTCTAGATGCTACTATGTCCTTCGATATTCGTTTGACTATTCGCGATAGATGACGTTACTCTTACCGGCGTAACATAACTATACTGAGACCTTAGAACTTATCTCAAGGTGGGTGGCGCATTTACGTTGTAGATGTCTATGGGCTCCAATAACCACTTAACACCAGGTGGGCTATGAGCTCGTCCACCCAGCTGAGCAATAAAAAAAGGTCTCAAGTCAAGTCAAGTTTTTTACTCTTCACAGATTGTACAAGAGAGTGAGGAGAGATTATCTGAAGAGGACGTACAAGACATAATTAGTATAGTTAGCCAACATCTACTTGCAAATGATAGTTCTAATACATAATGCAATCTGTGAAGTCGTTCTTGACGTCGATTGTGGAATAAACCTACGTGAAGTGATATTCCTTTAAATAATGATAAGTATTGCATAAGGATTGCGTATTTCGTCAGAACCCGTAATCTAAAGCATAAGCAACTGGCAGGGGTTTTCTGGAGACCAATAAATACATTGCGTGCACCATGTATCGCAATANCTTCGCACAAACGCTACAATGGTAGTAGTCACCTGTGGACATCAAATGCAACCGTCTATCTTGTTAAATGCTGTTATCACACATTAAGAGTAACTGAAGATGCTGAAATAGCAAACGAACCTCAAAAATTACATGAATAAAATATGAGGACTGAATTAAACTAATAAAATTATTCCAAATTTAATGATATTTGAACAGTGGAATGCTACTGGTATTTGTCTTGAAGGGTGGGGCAGCCGTTGTAACTGTTACGCGCTGGGGTTCGAGATAAATAAAATTCCAGCAAAGTACAACTTAAAACTGTATTCAACACTTAAAACACTCAACAAACACTTTAAAACTCTCAATTCGCTTCTTCCGCTTCGCTTCAGGTGATCCGTTCGCTGTTTCGCTTCGAGTAGTTTCTACAACGCTTTTATAGCCGATACCACATCTCTAGAATTATCGAGAATATTCCACACATCTCTAGTATTGTGCTTCCGGTATCTGACAATAGATGGCGTTGTATTTCTCGAGCGTTCTAGATGCTACTATGTCCTTCGATATTCGTTTGACTATTCGCGATAGATGACGTTACTCTTACCGGCGTAACATAACTATACTGAGACCTTAGAACTTATCTCAAGGTGGGTGGCGCATTTACGTTGTAGATGTCTATGGGCTCCAATAACCACTTAACACCAGGTGGGCTATGAGCTCGTCCACCCAGCTGAGCAATAAAAAAAGGTCTCAAGTCAAGTCAAGTTTTTTACTCTTCACAGATTGTACAAGAGAGTGAGGAGAGATTATCTGAAGAGGACGTACAAGACATAATTAGTATAGTTAGCCAACATCTACTTGCAAATGATAGTTCTAATACATAATGCAATCTGTGAAGTCGTTCTTGACGTCGATTGAGGAATAAACCTACGTGAAGTGATATTCCTTTAAATAATGATAAGTATTGCATAAGGATTGCGTATTTCGTCAGAACCCGTAATCTAAAGCATAAGCAACTGGCAGGGGTTTTCTGGAGACCAATAAATACATTGCGTGCACCATGTATCGCAATAAATATTTTCTATAAAAAAATTTATAAGTGATTTTTTAATTTTATAGTTCGGAATAAATACCATCTGCCTCTATTTTCGTGATCAATTCGATATATAAAATTAACTGAAAAATTAAATTGTTTTAAGTAAAATTATGTTTTTATTGTTACACATTAATAACAAAATAAACACAAAAATTGTCATCGCCAAAAGAATTAAATGCCCGGTGTATAAAGTGGTACTGGTAATGATGCGGCTTTTTTTTTATTGACCTTGTAGGCAGACGAGCATACGGCCCACCTGATGGTGAGTGGTTACCGTCGCCCATGGACTTCAGCAATGCCAGGGGCAGAGCCAAGCCGCTGCCTACCGCTTAATACTCTCCACAAGCCTCGTTTGAAGAAGGACATGTCATAGCGCTCGGGAAACACCGTGGAGGGGAGCTCATTCCATAGCCGGATGGTACGTGGCAAAAAAGACCTCTGGAAACGCACTGTGGATGACCGCAGTGGCTCCAGGTAGTATGGATGAACTCTACTCCGGTGGCGGGCGATGCGATGGTAAAAACGATATGCCGGTATCATCTCGATCAATTCCTCAGTGCTCAGACCTCAGGCTATGGTCTGTTCAAATTTCGTGGACTGTTTTAAAACTCCTGTTCATAGCCTACAAAAAAAAAAGAAACTCGTTTTTTGACCCGAACATATTCTACGATCTTAGTTCCCATAGTGGTCCAGGTAGCAAAAGCAGTGCTTCGCAGAATCGACCACTGGATTCGAAACGCGACCCACTGAGAAGATTTGGCGAGAAATTCAGTAGGCTTAGATGAATTTGATCTTGCTGTATTACGTCAGACTAACGTTTACTCAAGTGTGAAAATTTAATTAACAATAATCTATTGCTTATCATTATTGAATTAAACATGGAAATTGATCACTGCCTGTATAATAGTTATGTGTTTTAATAATAATGACCTAAAGACTGAAATAAGTGAGTACTATTTTATTATTAAATTGTTTTTTTTGTGCAACTTTATCTGCATAGCAAATGACATCAANGCATACGGCCCACCTGATGGTGAGTGGTTACCGTCGCCCATGGACTTCAGCAATGCCAGGGGCAGAGCCAAGCCGCTGCCTACCGCTTAATACTCTCCACAAGCCTCGTTTGAAGAAGGACATGTCATAGCGCTCAGGAAACACCGTGGAGGGGAGCTCATTCCATAGCCGGATGGTACGTGGCAAAAAAGACCTCTGGAAACGCACTGTGGATGACCGCAGTGGCTCCAGGTAGTATGGATGAACTCTACTCCGGTGGCGGGCGATGCGATGGTAAAAACGATATGCCGGTATCATCTCGATCAATTCCTCAGTGCTCAGACCTCAGGCTATGGTCTGTTCAAATTTCGTGGACTGTTTTAAAACTCCTGTTCATAGCCTACAAAAAAAAAAGAAACTCGTTTTTTGACCCGAACATATTCTACGATCTTAGTTCCCATAGTGGTCCAGGTAGCAAAAGCAGTGCTTCGCAGAATCGACCACTGGATTCGAAACGCGACCCACTGAGAAGATTTGGCGAGAAATTCAGTAGGCTTAGATGAATTTGATCTTGCTGTATTACGTCAGACTAACGTTTACTCAAGTGTGAAAATTTAATTAACAATAATCTATTGCTTATCATTATTGAATTAAACATGGAAATTGATCACTGCCTGTATAATAGTTATGTGTTTTAATAATAATGACCTAAAGACTGAAATAAGTGAGTACTATTTTATTATTAAATTGTTTTTTTTGTGCAACTTTATCTGCATAGCAAATGACATCAAAATCCGATGACCACTAAGTAGTAAGTATAAGTCATAGAACCATTCATATGAAAGTTTCCATAAATAATTGAATTACGTGATACGCATATTCGGGATATTTATTTTCTGTAGGAAGAATGTAAATAGTGGTTTTATGGCATATTCGCTATTGTTACGCCTATATACAATTTTTTCTTTGATTTTCTAACAAGATCTAGAGCCACCTAGACAGGCTATTTAGATTTATCAATACTTTGAAAATTCCCGCTATTGATCAGCGCGTTTAGTTTTTAAAGATGAAGCTGGTATCATTATGTCCTGTGACAGCAGCGCTGCGTCTGCGGGACTGCTTTCGTGGCGCGTACTCTACTATGTTTTTATTAATTTTAAGAAGATCTAATTATACCTACGTGTAGAGCTAATTTGTGTTTTCATTACACTTAAGAAAACAAAAAAAAAACATTACGAAATTACGAACCAAAGAAGAAAGCTATCTAATGACTAGAACCATTACTTTAATCTTTAGAACACTGGTTTATAAGAAAAGCATGGACTTTTTGGCGGGAACGCGAGGAGTGAAGTTCTGTGATTTGTTTTATTTTGTCTATTTAGTGTTTCTTCGGGTTTAAATGTGTAATAATGGTGGTTTCTTAACTGTTTAATATCTGTGAAAGTGCAAAAATGTGGGAAAATGAAACAAAGCCGCTTGACGTAACTTCTCGGGATCCTCCAAAAAGTTCACTGAAAAAATCTTAGTAAATTACCACCATTTTACTGAGATTATATTTCATCCCATATCATCTCAATTCATTTCATTTAATTTCATCACAGTTGATTAGTGTCTCAAATTAATCATCTTTATTTCATTTCACTCCATAATATCATTTTTCATAAAATTAAGAATAATATAAATTAAAATAAGATATGACTGAAAGGTCTCAGTTACCAGGTCATAAAATCTTAAAAAATAAATAAAAAAAGCATACATACGATACGATCATAGATTATACACTTATTATATTTGAGACATACGATTTCTTAGTCTCTATTTTAGCAGAAATACTTCTAACTTTCGTTTAATTAAACAAATTTGGTACTCACCATGCCTCGAAGATGTAAAATGAAATGCTATTTTGGATGCAATGACAGTGGTTAGTTTGCATTATTTCCCGCCTTACTATTAGATACAATCATAAACGTTACATATGAGTCGTCTATTATCAAAGGTGTGCATTTGGACAAAAAAATGTTATTGATATATCAATACAGATTGATTTGAATATAATCGTCTCCTTCAAAGAATACGGTTCAAAACCTGCATGAAATAAAGGTTAATACTTAACCTGTTATTTATCTAACATGTCGTTCAGAAGAGTTTTGTAACTGTCAATGGAATACAAAGTCAATAATTCGTTTTTCTGATTTACCAATAATTGTCCAAAAGTCACATTGCCGCCTTTGATAATAGTCGACTCATATAGCATGATATAGTTTAATTACATTGGTATCTACTAACAAATTTCCTTATCATTTTATACCAATATTAAAAATATTAAAATCGACTCCGACCGTATATTTTATGATTGATATCTGTCCAGCCTCCGCTATGGTTGCCAACCTCCCTGCTTTGTAAAATCTTGAAAAGAAAATATTTTAAAATATTGTTTAAGTTAATATCGTTTAAATTAATAAATAATTCCCAGGCAGCCTAAACTTTAATGTGCATTTTCTTTTAGGTCCATTTCACGCATTTCCTAATCCTGAAAGCGTGATAGTAGAACACATAGAGAGATTCAATGATTGGAAAGCAGTGCTAGACTTAGACATTCAAAAAATTGGTGACCGAAAAATTTATAATAATGTACGCTTATGTGGAAACCACTTCGAAGATTGTTTCAAATTACCTAGTGGTCGGCTTACCCAGAATTCAAGACCAACATTGTTTTGTAGTAAGTTGTGGTATATTTTACACATCTCTGTGTTGGTTAAATCAATACTTATCTTTTTTCTATTAGGTCCAAATATTACAACCTATAAGTACAGTGAAAATCCATTTTTATTTCTTTATTCTTCTTGTCCATTTGATGGTTTTCTTGAATAGGTTATTTGGTAAGTACTCTAGCTTGCGAGATTAATGACAAAAAAAAGTAAGAAGATGGATTCATAGTTTTTTGTATTAAAATCGCAAATTCTATTTAATTAATTATTGTGGTGACTAATCCAGTTTGTGACTTAGCTGTAAAGTTCAACCTAATATGCAAAATAGTGCAGTTCAATATTATATATTGAAAATGGCCTCACTATCTGCAATTTAAAGTTACATGTATATAACAAGCGTCAGTTTATTTGAAAATATAAGTAGACCTCAACAGGCCTAATATTAAAATATGAATGTTTCAGACAAACAATATCCGAATAATAAAATAGATGAAAGCTTAGATACATCTGAAACGAGGGATAATGTAGATTCATGGGATATAAAAAATGGTAACGATAAAGTTGAACATGTTCCAAGTAAGTTAAAATTTATTATATATACAGTGGTGGTTGTATAATTAGAAACACCTCAATCGTTTTTATTTTGAAATTAAACAATAAATAGGTCAAAAAAATGGTCAACAATTTATCCTTTATTAAAAAAAATAATATAAATCCCACTACACAAGTGCAGTTTCAATTTTACATTCCAGACAAACATTTAAATCAGTTTTAAGGTATGAACAATAATGGTCAACTAATTAGAAAAAACAAAAAAGTATTAAAGACAATATTTTTTTAAGTATTCGTAATTAGTATTGTTATTTACGAAATAGCTACTATCCACAACCTACATAATAGTTATAATTAATATTTATTAATATATCTCTTATTTTCAATAACAGCACTGGAATGATTCAATAAATTGTGTGGCACAAGTGGCATTGATTCAATAAATTTCATACATTTTTCTAGGGGGATTGAATTCAATGCTTCAACATATGCTTCATATAGTTCGGTTTGATTGGTGTTAGGTTTGTTTGAGACTTTTCTTTTAACAAAATACCCAAGATTTTCTATTGGGCTCAAACTGGTCAATTTTCTGGCCAGTCTAAAACGGATATACGCTGTTCGCTAAGGAAACATTTGACGCTATTGGCGTGTTGTTAGGGTCATTGTCATGCTGAAAGATCCAGGTTACAGGCAAATGATCGACCGAGTAAGGAATCATTGTGTGTTCTAAGATATGTTTGTATTGCCATTGATCCATTGTACCTTCAATCTTTAGGACGCATTCAAATCCACATTCGGAAAAACACCCCCAAACTTTAATGTTACCGCCACCGTGCTTGACTATACTCCTTGTGTATTTATAATTAAAAGTATTATTTACAGGGCGTCTAACGTAGCACCTTTCATCGGAATTCACCTTATATATTTTTGTATTATCTGAAAATAATACTTTTTTCCATTCTTGTACTGTCCAATTAACATTTTTTAGCGAATAATAATCGCTTCTCTTGGTGTTGCTTGGTAAGAAGCGGTACCTTGCGAGAGGTTCTTCCAAACAATGTTGCTTGGTAAGAAGCGGTACCTTGCGAGAGGTTCTTCCAAACAATTTAACTTCCACTAATCTTCGGCGTAGCAGTCTTGACGAGATGTTTCTCAGGTCGTCAATCTGGTTGGAGCCTTTAAATGGGTCTTTTTTGGCAACATGAACGATTAGCGTATATTCTCCGGAAGATGTTTTTCTTGGCCGAGCCTTACTCAGAACATTTTCAACAGTTCCATGTGTTTTATAATGATCAATTGCATTGAAAACTTTCTAACAGAACAATATAATGCTCAGCTGTACGCCCACTTATGGTCTATATGTAAATTAACAATTATTTGCCTAGTTGTCGCGTCACAACTTATAATTTTGCCGATTTTGAAGAAAATAAAATTCAGATTAAATTTTGAATTGTCGCCAAAATAATAGAAAAGGCCGAGAAAGAAATGTTATTCTCCAATTTCAAAAAAGAATGAGCTATGGATGCCTTTTTATAATGTTTTTAATTTGACGTCCAAGCGCTCAGTAACATGAAATAAACTCCCACACGTGTAAGACTCATTTTGTAAATAAAAGTAAGATATGTTTCATATTTTATGCATTTAATGGGTTTTTTATTGGAGTGGCTATATCATTAATTATTGAATGTGTATATTTTTTACGAACAATTGTACGTTGAAGTTATACTTTCGTTATTCATAATAAGTGTTTCTAATTATATGACCACAACTGCAATTTTTTTTTTTTGTTGCCCTTGTAGGCAGACGAGCATACGGCCCTGATGGTGAGTGGTTACCGTCGCCCATGGACTTCAACAATGCCAGGGGCAGAGCCAAGCCGCTGCCTACTGGCAAAATATACCGTTTTTTTTGTTCAAGAGAGATCTTGTTTCTGATCTTTATTTGAGTAAATGGATAAAGAGGTCACATCCCACCCAGTGTGAAGTGGTTACAGGAGTCCTTAGACATAAACGCCACCACTCACCCTAAGACAAACGTCTAACTCTCAAATGTATAGTCTGTCTCATTCTTCAAAGCCACATGCATTCCTATTTATGGTAGAAAAGGTGGTTGTACATGTGCTCACAAGATGCTCTACAACCAGTAATTATGCAAATTATAATTAACTATTTGTTCATTTTGAAATCAAAGTAGCTTCTCAAAAATGCTTTACCCACTAATACAATAATATCTTTTCCTAAATTAAATTTAAAATCAAGTCTATTGTTGAAAAATACTAGGGTTACGATTGAGAACCATGTGAGTAGGTTTTGTGTCAAATGGGTGAGATAACCACTGATAGTGAATAAGAATATACTTCCGTAAATGTGGTACCAGCAACTCATACTTAGTGAGATTGGGGCAAGTGATTTTTTTTTAAATATCTGCAATGTAGATCATCATTATTTTTTATTAATCTTTTATTAACATAATATACTTCACATTTGCTCAAAACAGTTGAGACAGGTTTTAATATAAATTTCTTTTTTAGAGGAACTACCGCCTCGCATTCTTTATAAAATAGACGCTGGACCTCCGTCATGTGCTGTCAAAATTATAGCAGACATTATTGGCTTAGAATTCGCAGAGAAGGAATGCGATTTTTTCAAACTTGAACATAAGTCTCCTGATTTTCTTGAGGTATGGATTGTACTTTGTCGAAACAGTAAACAGCTGATTTGCATATCATAATATGTATCCAGCATAATTATGGAATGTTGCTGGTACTATTCTAGAAACATTTTGTGCAGTCCCAATATCAAATGTATAAAGTTTCAAGCCAATGAGTTTAAAATTATTAAAGTTCATCACTGCGTTTCCTAAACATCTTCTTTAATGAGATCTAATGCTATTTCAAGTGAAAGGTGTCAGTTTGGCTATTCCCTTAGTATTGCTGATGTTCATGTTTGATGGAAACCTCGGTCTCATGTTAGACAGGTGCACCTTGAACAAAAAAAATGGAACATAATTCAATTACTTTTATTATGATGAGTAAATTCCTTATTATTGATACAAATGTTTCTGAACAGTATACAAATTTAACTGAAATACCAATGTAATTAAAAATTGCAATGATAATGTATCTCTGAACTTTATAAGCCAAATTTTAACTTATTTTCATTTTACATTTCTCTAATGTAGTACCAACCTACTTAATTGTGTAATAAATCATCTTCAAATGTTATTTTCAGTTAAACCCGCTCGGTACCCTGCCCACGATAACGGATGGTAAATTCGTCCTTTCAGATAGGTAAGGGTCAATGTGTTTTACGTATTAAACTGGTGGTAGGACCTCTTGTGAGTCCGCGCGGGTAGGTACCACCGCCCCGCCTATTTCTGCCGTGAAGCAGTAATGCGTTTCGGTTTGAAGGGTGGGGCAGCCGTTGTAATTATACTGAGACCTTAGAACTTATATCTCAAGGTACGTGGCGGCATATACGTTGTAGATGTCTATGGGCTCCAGTAACCACTTAACACCAGGTGGGCTCGTCCAGCCATCTAAGCAATAAATAAAAATTTGGCCATAATGTCAGGGATTCACTGGGCCTTTATAAAAACATTTCCCACGAAATACTTTTGTTTCTTGACGACAGTAACGCCATAATGAAGTACTTGCTAAGTAAGTACGGAAAAGAATTAGAAGAGTCCCTGTATCCGAGCGATATCGAGAGTCGAGCGCTAGTCGACCAGGCGCTGTTCTTCAACGCGGGAGTCTTCTTCATCAGGCTGAAAGCTATTGCCGTAAGTATACCGTATATATTTGGCAGCGGCTTGGCTCTGCCCCTGGAATTGCTGCAGTCCATGGGCGACGGTAACCACTCACCATCGGGTGGGCCGTATGCTCGTCTGTCTACAAGGGCAATAAAAAATAAATAAAAAAATAGCGGCCATAAATTAATCACTCTCACAAACGAAGACTGTTAAGTTGTAGAGCAATCGCGGATACGACGAAACAACAGCAAAAAAAAGCGACCAAAATTATATTTAAACGCCTCTCAATGACATCACAACGTCGGACCAATTGAGGCTGTCAGCGCAAAAGTGGCCTAAGCTTACTATAGTTTTTTTGGAGCAATGAGGTTTTCATGAATTTGAATTTGACTAGGCAAAATAATTTTTGCAAGTGCGCAAAAATAATGTTTACAAAGCCATCTGTTATCTATGGGCGAAACTATGCATAAGCCGGTTTGGCATCAAAATTTATTATATTTTAAATAAATTGCAATATATATATCGACGCTTGAAAGGCAAACGTGACTAAGCGACAATAACTGCTTTGTACATAAATGATAGGCAATAACCATATTCGATGCGCAAAAAAAATATATTTCTAGGTTTATTAAAATCATGTCAATCCTACAGCTAGATTCGTTAAAATATATTTGTTTTCAGGTATTTCTACTTTAAATTAGTCTACAGTAAAGTTCACGCATTGTCGCTTAGTCGCGTTTGCCTTTCAAGCGTCGATATAATATATAAGCACGATTATGAAAAATTGTGGGTTAGGCCACTTTTGCGCTGACGGCCTCAATTATATTGTAATAGCGGCTGTGTCACCGAAGCTCATGACTGCTTCGCGATAAATTATTCCGAATGGTGGCACATGTTTTACCGCTAAAGGCTTGAATTCAGATAAAAAACATTGATTTGTTTATATAATTAGTTTTTATTATATTTACAACGATTCGGTGAGCGGAACTTGCTTCAGCTGATCGGTTGTTACTGATGCGATTAAAACATTTCACAATTGTGAATGGTCTTATTTAAAATTGAACTTTAACTCTGTACATATAACGTTTTAATTAAGTTAACTATATATTTATTGTCCAAATTTATATATTATAACCGAGCGTGCCCTGTGTCGTAGTTACCTACGGTATTCGGAAGCCTGCAGGAGCCCACGGCGAAGCATCTAGAAGACATCGAGTCAGCGTACGGAGTAATCGAAGCGTACCTGCGGAAGCACCACTACATCGCGACCGACCACCTCACCATAGCCGACATCGCCGTTGGCTGCACCGCTTTCGCTCTAAGAGGAGTGTTGGAAATTGATGAAAACAAGTAAGTTGATATTTTATAGTATTTTCAAGGTCAGAGACTCCTATGCTATTGCCTTCTATGCCACGCCTCTTATAATAGTGTGTCATTGACGGCATTGGTGCTGGTGACACGGTATGTTCAGTCTGCACGGAAAGTACCAGCACCCTCCGCCAGTCCTGGTGAAACTGGAAAGACTTCCGGGCCACCAGTAATCCTTCAATACTAAAAAAAAACCAGCATCCTTTGCTAAGCATTGCTGTGTTACAGTAAGGCTAGGAATGCTGCAGTACAAAACTAAAGGCTAACCTCATGTCTCTAGGTAGGCAAAAACGGTTATTTTATAACATCTGTAGGCTTCGGTAATCAACTAACACACACACACACCTCTAATCGCTAATCTAATAAAGTAATAATACCTTTTATACTTCTGTGCCTGGAGTTTATTCATTAATCGATGGTGAGCTAGAATAAATAAAACGTACAGATGCAATAGTGTTAAAATTTACTTTAAAAGAAATGTGTTTCACTACTTTTGTAAGCAATTTTGTTTTACAGGTTCCCAGGTATGATAAGATGGCTTCAAATTCTGAGCGAAGTTCCGAAAATCAAGAAACATGGTGTTTCTGGTGGTGATTTACTCGCAGATATATTAAGAAAACAGTGGAAAAAGAACAAGAATGTAGAAAAAATATATGATATTGATATATCCTATGGTATATCCTAGTTGCTGCTGAATGCTCCATGCAACATGATACTACAAGAAGACTGTCCGTTCCCTGTGGTTTATGTGTGATCTCATATAAATATACCACAGTTAATGATTCCAATCTAGGACTGTGTCGCGTTGTCATGGCTGCTAGAAGACTAGTATGAGACAAACAGTGTACAAGAAGTGAGTACATGGAGACCCTAAATGCCAGACGTATTTAACAAAGATACTACTGACACTGATCTGGTACTAAATGTGGTCTGTCAGACAATAGTTGAGTCGTCAACCGCATTGTGTAACAATGAGATCAATGGAAATATGGAGATTATTACTTTATCTCGATTACTTCCTCGTATGTAGATGTAATTGCTACGTGAGGTGACAGCAGAATCTTCTTTGGGGATTTTTTTTTACTCTGCTTATTCCCTGGTAGCCTGAGGGGCCATTCCAACTCTGTGGATTTCGGGACAATCGATGCAGAGGGGAGTCTAGGTGTCTGAAACCTGCCGCGGAGATACGAATTACCATACTGGTTTTTAAGTCTTCGGGCCTAATGGACATCTGGTGTACTCACATCGAGCGATGTGGCGTTAAGTCCCGCAAGCCGATACTCCAAGGAAATAGTTATCTAACACGCGAATAAGTCGTCGTGGCCTAAAGGATAAGACGTCCGGTGCATTCGTATGTAGCGATGCACCGGTGTTCGAATCCCGCAGGCGGGTACCAATTTTTCTAATGAAATACGTACTCAAGAAATGTTCACGATTGACTTCCACGGTGAAGGAATAACATCGTGTAATAAAAATCAAACCCGCAAAATTATAATTTGCGTAATCACTGGTGGTAGGACCTCTTGGGAGTCCGCACGGGTAGGTACCACCACCCCGCCNAATTTTTCTAATGAAATACGTACTCAAGAAATGTTCACGATTGACTTCCACGGTGAAGGAATAACATCGTGTAATAAAAATCAAACCCGCAAAATTATAATTTGCGTAATCACTGGTGGTAGGACCTCTTGGGAGTCCGCACGGGTAGGTACCACCACCCCGCCTATTTCCGCCGTGAAGCAGTAATGCGTTTCGGTTCGAACGGTGGGGTAGCCGTTGTAACTATACTGAGACCTTAGAACTTATATCTCATGGTGGGTGGCGCATTTACGTTGTAGATGTCTATGGGCTCCAGTAACCACTTAACACCAGGTGGGCTGTGAGCTCGTCCACCCATCTAAGCAATAAAAAAAAAAAAAAAAAAGAATATTCAAAGACCTTTACCTTAGGGCGTATTGTAATCCCATAAAGAAAAATACCACCATTGTTCCACATAGTATTATATATTATAGTTGAAGTCGTCGTGGCCTAAAGGATAAGACGTCCGGTGCATTCGTGTTGAGCGATGCACCGGTGTTCGAATCTCAGGCGGGTACCAATTTTTCTAATGAAATACGTACTCAACAATTGTTCACGATTGACTTCCACGGTGAAGGAATAAAATCGTGTAATAAAAATCAAACCCGCAAAATTATAATTTGCGTAATTACTGGTGGTAGGACATCTTGTGAGTCCGCGTACCACGACCCTGCCTATTTCTGCCGTGAAGTAGTAATGCGTTTCGATTTGAAGGGTGGGGCAGTCGTAACTATACTGAGACCTTAGAACTTATATCTCAAGGTAGGTAGCGCATTTATGTTGTGTACGTCTATGGGCTCCAGTAACTACTTAACACCAGGTGGGCTGTGAGCTCGTCCATCCATCTAAGCAATAAAAAAAATCTGATTTAATGTGTTTATTAGAATATGATATTTTAAATGAAAAAAAAGGTATTATTTATTGCCCACACGGTTGTAGAACAGAAGTTTTTGTTAAATAACTACCACCGAGATTGTCTCGTACAAAATCACCCCGAAACGTTCAGTCAGTATAGCCAACTTAAGATTCATAATCTAGGTATATTCGGATAATTAAATCGATCATCATACCACCAATTTATGGCGCGAAATCGTTCTACATTCCGGTTTGAAGAGCAGGACGCCCCTGGTATACTTTTATGTATTGCATTGTTATACAACAACACATTCTGACAATGACTCTGTAACATGAGACTGACAAAATTAATTAGTATAAAAAATCGGAGTCGGATCGGAATATTTAATCAATATCTCGAGAAAAGGCATGGTGTCCCGTTAACTAAATTTAAATTGTATACTCTAAAACTGATTGAAGTGTTCGTATTAATTTATAAATAAATATATTGGAATTAAAATTTTGTTCGAACCTTAACTTTGTGCTTTGATTGTTATTAATATTCCCAATACCAACCCCAACCCCAAACCCAATGTACCCAATCAAAAAATATTCTGATTCTAACCTAAATGTGTGAAGAGATCAGTGTTTACCCAATTTCGGAAGGTCATGGTGGCTAATAGGTTCATTGTGAACCTAGGTATTATGAGTCAAAGGTTTAAGATGCGCAGGAAGAACAGCGCGATTGCTTATTATTAGAGAATATGTGTTAGACTTAATATATGTAATCAAATCAATTCCTTATTTTGTTAACGTTATTCTTATTATAATAAACAAGAATAGGTTGAATCACTATAGTAAACTCTTTAGTAACGGTTTCTAGTTTTTATTTCGACTAGCCATAAAACCATTTTTATTATTAAAATTTGTTTAGACTACATATTCTTCATTTGGGTTGCTGTAAACAGCACTAGCGCCATCGCTCAAGTGCTTAAATGTTAGTTCTTATTATTTAACACAGATGACAGCACTTAGCAACATTAAGTATTCACTAGAGTGCGATTGCTATAAAAATTATTTATTATAAATACATTAGTATAATTTGTATGTAACCAACATTTAATTTGGGATTATGTTTCACGCTTAATACTGAAAGTTGCTGTTTAAGTAGATATCATGACCTCAATTATTCAAATTAATAAAATTGTGTAAAACTACCATGTGGTCTCTCATAAACTGACTACAAAGTTATCTACAGACGTTTAATACAAAATATTTGAAAGATGTCCAATATCTTTGAAGTATCATAGAATTAAAATTAATGTGAGGAGCCATATTAGTATCACCAATAGTATCAAAATCATCAATACTAAATCACGTAATGTAGTACCTAGTTATGTTGTACAATTTTTTTAGCAAAGTGACATCTATATTTGAGTTATGAGACTTCTAAGTTGTGCCTCGTTGACCTTGCTATGCAACTTTCGAACTTAGATCGTTCAAACGACATTCGCTGGAAACATAATTTGAATGGCACGGTATCGGACGAGGGGCTGTGACTCGCCAAGATCGCCAGAAACGTGTACGGCGAAGTGCGATCGACTCGTCGATGCGCTGCTGTTCCGCCGCTCTTGTCAATTTTAAGTTTTTCGAAGCGCGTGTGTAAANGCCTCGTTGACCTTGCTATGCAACTTTCGAACTTAGATCGTTCAAACGACATTCGCTGGAAACATAATTTGAATGGCACGGTATCGGACGAGGGGCTGTGACTCGCCAAGATCGCCAGAAACGTGTACGGCGAAGTGCGATCGACTCGTCGATGCGCTGCTGTTCCGCCGCTCTTGTCAATTTTAAGTTTTTCGAAGCGCGTGTGTAAATAAACAAATTTCTTTTCATTGAAATGTATGATGAAGTGATACAAATGTTTGTTTAATAATCGTGTCTGCACAAAGTGGAACTTTTTAAATGTATCCGTAACCGCTTCTCGCAATGATAAGGGAGAGCACTCAGTTACCTTTTGAGAAACCGGAGGCATTAAAATGTTTCATGTGGTCTAATTGATGCCACTTTTTAATTTGTTTAAGTGTTTACGTTGAATTTAAGGACTACTGTGTTATAGTTCAGTGACGCTTTTAAAAGTTCAACCGTCATTTCGACACGATCGTTAGTCGTCTACACGTTGAAAATGAGTGTGTTGAGTGGTTTAAGTAAGGCGGACATCAAGACGGCGAGCGATGGCCTGCTGGAGCTGCCCGAGGAGAGGCTCCGCAGCATCATGCGGTCTGAACCGATAACCGCAGTCTACCACGTTGAGCAGACACCCTTTGCAAGGTCAGTGATCTAAAATCTTGTCATTGTCATATGTTATCTGTCAAAAGTAGAATGACCTTTAAACTTTCTTGACCTAATTTATATTTTAATATGGCGGAAAAGTGTTCCTACATACGTTGAAAAAAAATACCCACACGAGTTTTTACGATATGAATATATGTTACATTAATCTAGCTATCTACAAAATGACGCAGCCAGTTATAAAGTATACCTACGTCTGCACAATTTTCATGGTCAAGAGATAACAATTCTATAGGACTGTAGTGTTTTACTAAAACTTTTATTATTTTACCAAATTGTGAGGAGCATAGATTAGTTTGTTTTAAATAAAGTTAAAATGTGTTACAATATAGCATTGTTATATTTTTATCTGTTGATAAAAGAAGTGAAGTGCTAAAGTGCCTGATAAACCGTGTTACTCTGATAAGATTATAGTTTGTGCCAAAGAAAAGGTGCTTTGTAGAAAAATACTGTTCAAACAATGGAATTGTTTGGAAAACAGTAAACATTTACAAAATATTCAACCTTGATACCAATATTCATATTGAGCAACAGTTTACTATAAATACTAAATAATGAAAATCGATTAAGGGCCGTGAAGTCTGGTAATGCCTTTCTTTTTAAATAATAATGTTCAATAAACTCACCACCTGTTGCACAACTACCCACTGCAATGTAAACTTAACTGCATTCTATTACTCCTAACTATCATCTATTTATTTAATTGCTTAATATAATAATTACAACAATGATTCATAAATAATACTTAAAATTGTGCTGTTAATGTTAATTTTTAACATAATTAATTATCTAACTAAATCTGTAGTTACTAAACTCTTTTCAGACCAAGATTTTGCACATTGTAATAATAAATGATATTAGTACTACTATCCTTTTAATTCTGATTAATTATATGTGTAATGTTAAAACCACTAAAATATTATTGTATGATGAGCATATACAAACTAATAGTTTATTGAAAATATTCAACTTAAATTGCTGTCTATTCCAAAAAAAATATTTGTTAAAACTTCAAAATATCAAGATTTGGACAAGAATGAAAAAGTTATTGAAATCTATGATAATTAAATATACATAGAGTTAGATACATATCTAATACAAAGTTGAATTCTAACAAAATGCCGAGCAGTTAATATTATGTGCATTTAGATGTATAATTCACTACAAAATTATGCATATAATGAGATTGCATATTTATTGTCCACAAGTTTGTAACATTTATATTGTCAAGTTCCATTAATTTATATCATGTTACATACCATCATAGCTACAAGGAAATGTAAGCATTAAAGTTAATTGNATCTAATACAAAGTTGAATTCTAACAAAATGCCGAGCAGTTAATATTATGTGC